AGCAGGGTAAACATATCATATGACTGGGTTTCTTGGAGGTTCCACCTTATTTTTTTGAAAATGGCAACATCAGCACCTGTGTTTCCTACCGAGCATTAGCGAAGCTGCAGCTTGCCAGCAGCCTCACTGCTATTTGTGCGTAAAACTTGTTATGGCAATATCGCCAGCTGGTGTCAGCACCCTTCTCACCAAAATCGCTATATACCTGCTTACTGGGATATTCGGGGTCCTGATAACGGATATACCCGACAGTCATTTTTGCCGCTGAATTTCATGACACTCTGATCTGCGCTCTGCTAAAGCTGAGCCTGGCAGGAAACGAGCCACTCTTTCGGGGGAGACAGGCAAGAGAATCGTAATTTGCCGCTCCGCCGCGCGCGGCGATGGGCGCGGCGTTTTCTAACTCGTTAACCTGTCGAATGAAGCACCGGACTTCATGTAGACCCCCATCATCGTAGACATTCATGACTATTTTCGGTTCTGAATTGCCTGTTGTCGCCATCTATTACCTGGATACATCGTCATTTCACGGTCGCGACGTCGCATATGAAACCCACTAAGGCGGCGCATTATGACCCTCTTGTCACATCCCCTCTTTTGGTACGATGAACATGTCTAGTACAGTCATTCTGACACTTTGGTACTATTTGACTCAGCTTGATTTGTTATTAACCGCATTTCAGTGGATGTTAGTGAGCCAAACAAACTTTCTATTTTCATAACTCATAAGCATTGGAACTTGTACTAAACAAGGCTTCTAAAAGGTCTCAGGCGTTGCCGAAATGAGAAACTAATAAAAAATTGACAAGTTGTCTATAGGTTCCTCACTCATATTAGCAGTATGGCTTCACCGCACTGTAGTGATCTTGGCGAGTGCCTCTAGGATCTTACTACGCTCCCCACACTGCTCCCTATAAGCAAAGCTTCGGCACATTTTTTGAGATCATGGGGCAAACGTAAGTCAGCAGTGCTGATATATGAAATAGGAGTACTTTTCAAAAATACATACTTTAACGAAAGCTGGACAGTGGGAGTGAACGCGCTTGCTCTTGGAGAACCGCAGCCGCATTTCCTCCGGATCAACAACGTCTCCTTTGCCTCTTGCATGCCTGCATAGGAAGACGTGATTCCTTCCATTTGGGCAGGCACGCGAAGTTCTCTTTGTGAATTGCACCTTTGTCAAACGTTCCACAGAGTCCATCCATACCTTGATATTGAAGAAATAGGAAAAATCGAGATTCAAGTGAGTTAACATCAACACTCATTAAAAGCTTAATCAGGAGGGGATGCAGGGAATACTCACGTTGAATTCCTTCTCGTTAGCGAATTCACCCTGAATTATTGAAAAGTCCTGACCATTTTCTCCATTATGTGCTGCACCACAGTGTAATGAAAGTTCGTATCCAGTGCGAAACACCTCATGACATGATGGGCAAGTCACCGTCGTACGAGCCCTGTCTTTGTCTAGCAGTTCGTCAGCATGCTCTTTCTAAATGAAAAAAACAACTTCAGTCCTCTTTCAGTTCTTCAACTTCAGAAAAAAGTGCGCTTGTCCCATAGCCTTTTTTTTGGAGAAAGCGAAAAATAGCCCCATTCTATACCGGCTTCTAGCAGCTAGAAAAATCTCAGTCAGAAGCAGATTGTTTAACAGCGGAACATTGTGATAGTATCGCATCCCCATAACATGGCCAGACCGTTTCCAGTTGACCTCGACTTTATTTTTCCGACTGCCGACGTTTTTGTAAGGTCGCTGGTACCGATGAGGATGAGGTGGCACTTCTGTCCACTTTTACAATTTTTTAAAGATTTTCGGCATGTGCTGCAACTGTGGTCGCCTACTCAAACCCAGCCAAGCCTAATTTTAGACTGACCATGGATTTACCCTCTTTTTTTAAAGAGTTCAGGACGCTATCGCAGAGTCGGACGCCACAATGTGCGCGAAATGTTGGTAGACACAGCAACTGTGTTCCTGTAGTTTTTTTTGCGTAGTGGTCTCTCAAATTATTTTCAAATGCCTCTCAAAGAATACACATCATTAATATGGATAAAACAACAAAAAAAAACAAGCAGAGTTAAAGTGAAGAGACATTCGCGGCGTTCAAAGCGAAACTGCGTCCTAGAAAATAGGGTAAATGATGTCATTGGATCCACAACCAGAAATAGATATCGTAATCGTGACCAAGGGCACAGAATAACCCTGTGAGGGAGCCCCATCAATTTCCGACGCTTAGGGCTGCACTAGTCCAACGAGATGCACTTTTTGGAGTTAGGCTTTGATGGAAGTGTGCAGGGAAAAGACAGTGAACGCCCAAGTGAGATTGTGTTGAATCTCTCTTAAATGAATCTCTTTTAAATGACCACAAAATCAAGCCAAACGTGCCATACCTCCAAGTGTACTCGTAGGCCGTGGAGAGAAAAATAGAATCTCGAGCAGTGTGAGCACTCGAGCTTGTCCTTCCTAGAGAACCTTGCTTCTCTGATCCTGATCTTTTCCGCTTCCACATCTTCATCGCTCCAAAAATGAACTGTTCGAAGATGACTGTAGTAATTGCTCAACTGGTATGGACCGCGGAGGCAGACGGTGCATTTCGCGTATGTCCTCATCTGCACCTGAATTTTCGTTTGTATGCGAAGCAATGCCAACCAACAAAGCACGAAGGAGCAGAATATGCCGCTATTCCAGGATTATCTCCAAAATGGGAAGAAAGTAAAAAGGAGAAAAGGAAGACTGAAAGTAAGGGCGTGATGGACACGTGGAAAGCTCTCGAGCAGTTAGCACTCCAAATGCTAATCTTTTCGCAGAATTTGGCAATGTTCACTTACAAAAAGCTGGTCATAAATGAAGGAGGGAGGCCATGTCTGGAACAAACTCGTCGACTGAGACGGTGGTATGAACTGTGAGTATCACTGGCGCCAATTTAGACCTTTTCTATTGATGCAGTGTGAATTCTTCTCCTTCTCATAGGTAGTAGCCTAGGGCATTGTAGGTACGCGGTTTTTATCAAGCGCTATCAATTTCTTTTATCCAAGGATTCTCTGATGGCGGACGAACCATACCAAGGCAGCGTTCATACTTCGCGACAGCAGTGGCTATCGCGGCGGCCGCCACTGCTGTCGCAAAGTATGAACGCTGGCTAGAGATATTTTTTGACAACATCATTCCCACTTCTTCCATAAGTATCCAACCCTAGCTATGGACAGTTCCTCTTAGGTAGACTTTGCCGCATGTGTATGAGTCCTGATTATAGGAAACTGGCGCAACCCAAACGTTTACCACGCCTTTTCTGGTTGCATCTTCCCGAAAGATGCTGTGAGTGATGGCGACAATTTTTTTCATCGAGTGTATTAGCGCACATCATGAGGTTTTTGACGGTACAAATTCAAGGGATCTCAAGATTGTGCTATTGTTAGGTTGGTCCATGATTGCTTTCCGATTTTCCACATTTATATATTAATTTTCCTCTCTTTTGATGAATATCTAGTCAACGCTAACATCAGTGGCGAAATTACGGATATGTGGTCATTTCCTGGGGAAGGAGTTAGTGGTTTCGTCGCAAAATGAGGGGTGAGTTTCTTCTTAAACTGCACTCGCGGTGGGCAAGAACGTTTACGAGGTGGCTTCAGTGAGTTCACTTTCTTCGAAGCCTGAAAGCATGGAAATCGATTCATGAACTATCCGACCAGATGTCTCAATCTTTCACAGGGACTTTTACCCCATTCCACCCATGTCGCTGACAAGAGAAATAGGAAATTAATTAGATTTACTGGAACAGCTACAAATAGCACAGTCCCGTGGTCTTCCGAACAGATCCATTCAGTCCGGTGGGGAACGCCAGTCTTATATCAAGGGCAGGGCACATCATCCTTGGGGATTCCCCAACAAGGGGTCGTATTTGGTCGCTGGGAAGGGGAGGGGGGTCGTACTTGATGAAGAGAGAAACAACTTTGATAGTTGATTCTTCTTGTTTGGGAACGCTATAGGGGGGAGGACGCAGTTGCTCATTTTGGGAGAGAGGGGTGTCGTGTTTGCCTTACTGCCTTCTGAGAGAGGTTGTTTACTTCGGTTTTCGAAGTTTCATACTTACTACATATATGTCATCCCCCTTCTACAGCTCGATGAGGTAAGGAAGTAGGGGGTCCCACCAACCCCCAAGGGGACTAGTAGTACGGACTCGACCAAGTCCCCAACCACAACCAATTATGTGCCCTGATAGGGGGTGAGCTCCCGCGTGACTGTCAGGCATTCTCCCCTTCGGTTCATTTTGGATCCCTGACCTGGATACAAGATGCCAAGATCGAAAGGCGAGTATGCTCGTCAATATCGCAAACAGGTTACAGCATCGTTGCGTGAAACACATAGGTGGGGGGTCGTACTTTTTCTCTGAGGAGGGGGTGGTATTTGGTCGTTGGGAGAGAGGGGAGGGGTTGTATGTGTCTTAGAGTTCGTTTTCCGGTTGTGACTCTTTGCGTTATTTTTCCTGTTTCATGGGCACTATATACCTCCCACCCCCGCTCTACAGCAGAATTTCAGGGAAAAAGTAGGGAAATTTTCGGGATACTCGGGAAAAGTGGTAGGAAGATGGGAAAATTCTTCTTCCGTTTCACACTGGCTATATATACCCCACCCGCTCGACGGATAATTTTTGGGTAAAAAAACTGGAAAATGTGGGTAATGGTAGTAGCTGCACGGTAAGGGAGGGAGGGGGTCGTAAAGACCCTCATTTAGGTGTGGGGGGTCGTAGTAAACCTACATCACCACATCCCACCACTATGCTGTACCCTGATCGCGAATGTTGCCGTTAGTGGTAGATTACAAATTCCCTTCCCTGGAATCCAAAACCTTATGTGAGATTCCTAGAATTCTTAGGCTGCGAGCTCTTGCACAGTATTGTCCTATTCTCCAGACCGATAGAATTATTTTTTTCTGCGCAAATTCTGCTAGCCTTTACTAGGGCAGAGTCGAAAAAATACACACAAGTCCCCTCCTTTTTGCGAATTTTCCATTTTTCAATACTGACCTCAGGCGAAATCATACAATGGTATTCAATCCTTTCAGAGGATATTTCAGTGAACTGATAGTTAGATCATTGGAAGAATTACGCAAAGGTACAACAGGAACGAGTACCTTTGCGTAATTCTCGAAATTTCTTCTGAAACCCTGACGAAGGCATTTTATGAACTGCAGGAACAATAGTAAAAGTTTAGTAGAACGTTTCAAGGAGAGTGGATATTCCTCTTCTCAAAATGTTTCTAGCGTTACAAATGGGCTAAAATGAAGAGCGTTGCTGTCATTTAAAGACACACCCCACGTTCCAAAATGCGGGACTTGTGTGGCTCAGACACTGATGACGAGATGGTAATGGCACAGAAATGAAGGAGAAAAACGTAAACCACACTTTAGAACCTCATGTCGAACCGAGGCGAAGGAAGAGGGTGATTGTGAGAGTTCTTACTTGTTCATGCCAGCTCTTTCTCCTTATCTCTTTCCACTATGACCCTCACCGTTGCAAACGGAGAGAGCTGATAGCGAAACGACCTCACCATCAGGTAGCTGTTAAAAATGAAAGTTGGGCTCGCCGTCGATAGTAGGGGGAGCCGCGGTTCGGTCGCGGTCAAGCGCCTCTATCCTGATTACATCCTGATTACGATTATGACGCTCACTCTTGGCGCTGGCGCCAAGAGAGGACACTACGATTACCTCCTGGGCTCAGCCTTCAGCAGAGCGCACATAATCATAATGTCATCCATTAGCGCCAGCGCCTGAGCTGCCAGCTACTAAAGTAGTACATCCTAAACGCTCTACAGGCAGGTCTGTATCTGTATGACTATCCAAGGAAAGCGCCTGAACATCAGATGAATGCGGGGCGCACCTTTAATGGAGCATAGAGTCAAAGTCGAACTCGAAAAGAATTTTCAAAATTTCCAACGACACATATTTCGGGGCAGAACCTATCATGAATATTTCAGTACCCACTGGAAAGCGCTGACCAGGCTCTTCACAACTGCGCCCTCTTTTCTCCCAATGGTTAACTTTTTACTATCGTTATACACGACACTTACACTTATCGTTATTCCAAGAAAAGGTACTTTCGCACTGTGTTGCCGGATAATGTGCTTCAAAGCGATGCCCGCATCGCAACCCCGAAGGCCCTTCCATGGCTAAACAGCATCCCATGATCCATTAAACACCAGTTTTGTTCCATTCACTCTCATTTCGCTTTTGCAATCATGAACGAATATTTCAGGTTTGTAAACTATCAGGGTTGACCCACCATTCAGAGCGCCATCAATGGTTTCTTTTCTCTTTTCTTTAGTCTTTTCCTGAGTGGAAAGTCTTCGGCGCTCACTGAGCATCTACTAGTTAGCATCCATTTTTTTCGACCACATTGTAATGGCTATGGGCGGTAGTGCAGGGGAGACCACTTGCTAGCGGCTCTGTGGCACTATTTCTTCTTTGCGGAACTATTACTGGGGCACTCTGGTCGCCCGAGCTCTGAGTCTTCTCAGGGAAAAGATGGTCTACAGACAGCTGAAACTCAGTCCCTTTCTTGGCGCCAACTTACTGTTTTTCTCTGCGCTCTCTTGCCTGAATGGCGCTTTGTGACCACTCTGACCTTTCACATTCCAACTTTTCACGTATACTAAGTGGCTCATCCACCCAGGTGTCCCCTTTCCTCTAGAAAAAAAAATTCATCTCCTGGGTCGCGACATATTTGCCTAGGCAGCCGCAGTCCTTTAATTCTGCGTCTGGCCTTTCGCAACAGGATCTCCACTAAAAGTCTTAGTTGTCGCGTAACCCCTTCCCCCCTATGTTATCGCCTAGCCCTGCTCTGCGTCTCTGAGCGCTCGTGATTGTGTCGCCAATGTCGTGCTCAGGAACCAGAAAAGAACCAAACATCCTGTGGGTTCAGTGTGATACACCTGTATTCTATGGTGCAATGAGTTTTTGTGCAGCTCATTTGGATAACTGGTAAACATGCTCATCCTTGTCTACACCTTTGCATGGTGTGGGGAAGACTCGAACCAAGCTCATTAGGAGGAGTGATCGTACTACTGATTCAAGGTCTCCAATAGTGCCCCCAATGGCTATGAGGCAGGGAGGACCGACAGCGCTCCCAGGATTATCTTGGAGATATTCAGGCTGTTCCCAGAAATCGCACTGGTATGTACAGTCACAGCACGTTCGTACGTTGAGAATTGTCAGCGAGGGGTCTTACTTACCGTTGAAAAAAAAACGCTTTCAGCTGCTCGCTCCTCGATTTTTCCCTGTTTGAAGTGCGCCAGCCACCACCCACCCCTCGCTCAACCCCGCAGCCCTCCCCCTCGACAGTTTTTGGCATGATTGTAGAGAAACTTTGCGGAAAAATACCGGGAAAGTGGTAGGAAGTTTGGGAGGTATGAGAAGACGACAGGTAGGTTGAGGGCCGTGCCAGAGAAGGAATGTTGAGGGTGTGTTTTGCAAAGTTTCTCCAACGAAACGACGTGCCCTAGATACAGTAATCTTGTTGATCGTTCCCCATTCTAGAAAAAAAATACTGTTCCACCCTAGTGTCCCGAGTGTCCTTGAGTCACACACAGGTGCAGCGCACCGCGACCGCTCGCCG